GGTTTACTTGAACTAATTTTGCGGGTTTGTTATTTAAGATTACTAACACCCTGAACTGGATGGTACGAATGAGCAGTGAGCTTGAAACTAATATTGTGTCTGTTGAGCGGGTCAAGGAATATTCAGAAGCACCAACTGAGGTATGGTAAAACAAATAATGATAAGTTGAGATAACATGATGAAATCTTCATAATGATGTGAACCGATCTTCTTGTGCATTGCCTGTTTTGTGAATTTTTGCTCCTATATTTCTGAATTGTTTTAATGATCTGATGAAGAAAAGTGAGGATAACAAACCTGCGTCATCAGTAACACTAATCTTCGTACAACTCTAGCATATAAAGAGATAAACCCCAATTAAATCAAAAATAAACATTTCATGTCTTCCAAGTTGAGAGTTTTTTTGTTTTTCCTTTCCTTTCCTCTTCTGATGTTTGCTTAGAAAAGAAATGTGGGTTCCTTGTTCTCTCACACGTCATGGTTACTTATAAGTATGTTACAGGGAAGCATGTTTATGTAAACTTGACATCTGTGGACATTTATTGCAGGCTGAGTGGATTATCCCAGACAACCGGCCCCCAGATAACTGGCCTGATGCTGGAAACATTGTCATTGAAGACTTTGACTTAAAATACAGAGAAGGATTACCTCTGGTATTGAAACAGATCAACTGCGATATTCAACCAGGAGAAAAGGTAATTAAGTCTCCGTATTCTTTACTTAACCCTTTCCAACCTAGCATTAGTATGCATATTCTCCACACTGTTCTTTATACATTTCCGAAGGTGCTTACAAAGAGAATATGTTTAGCAATCAAAAGCTTCTCAAGTTGGTGATTATTTCTTGTTTTGTTGTGACCTGAATGTTTGAATAAGGGGTGATAAGATAATGAGAAATTAATTGCTAATCACCCTTAGGGTTGAAGAAGAATGAGCAAAGTTTTTCTTTATGCACCGTTGGTGAATTCCTTTTTGGATAACTTGGTTTTATCAACTTGGTTGATAATTTAAACTGGCCATTCTGTGGTCTCCCCGTACATCTTGGCATTTCATGAAGCTACATAACTTTAGAATTACTTTTATCTTTCAAATCGGAAATCTTAATCACGGCTGTAACAACGAACGTTTCCATGGTACTAATTTATTATTGTTTTCCACGTTACTATGGTCCCACTAATAGCGTAGCTCAAACACACATCACCCACATTTCCTCTATTCGCTTCGACAAAGGGCTCATGCTCAAAACCTCAGCTTTAGAAACTCTTTACGGTGGCCGATTTGCATTATTAACTGAGTTGATAAAATCAATTAAT